ATTTTATTTTCTTCAAGTATCATGTTAAATTTCAATAAGATGTTTTGGTGAGATTAGATAGAGAGTATGCCAAAGTACTATGTCAGACTTGAATAGCATCAAGATAGCCTAAGGAACTCCAGTATGAGATCAAATTTTGAAAAAATGATTGTTTATTATTTAAAAATTAGCTGGAGATCAATAGGGCTGACTTGGGTGGTAAGTTTCGAATTGACATGATTATTGCCTTGTTACCAAACTGGTTCGATTTTTTTTTAGAGTGAACTAAATAAGGAATCAGTTTGAGTTCACACTCGCTGATATTCTTATAGAATTGGTAACAGATGAAGGGATAATCAAGAGTATGGGCGTTCCTATCAATCTAACCTAGTCTATACCATCTTCTTCTAGGCCCAAGTGGACGGACAAAGTAAAGAAGAAGGATGATAATAGGACTAGGCTAGCACAAAACATGGGTATCCAAAAGGTTAAAGGGAATAAGGCAGTGTATGTTGAGGGCAAATTAAATTGTTTCTTTTGCTGCTAACGAAGACATTAAAGGACGAACTGTCTAAGCAATGACGTGGCATAGGAAAATATATATTTAATCATTGAGCCATGTTATGTGGTTGCATCTATTAATTCCTGATGGATAGATTCTGGAGCCACTAAACATGTTTGCAATTCATCGTAAGGATTTCAGGAATCCAGAAGCCTTGATGATATAGATATATATTTATCTTTTGACCTGATGCCAAGGTTGTAGTTAGGTCAGTGGGAGTATTACATCTGAAATTAGAGAGTATGAGGATATTAGTATTAGAGAACTATCTTTATGCACAGAAGTTAGACACAATCTAATTTTTGTTTCACTTGTGGTTTATAAAAACTGGGTTGTTATTTTGTAAAACTGGTTTTATAAAATTGAATAGATATGTGATTGCTTCTGGTGCATTGAAAGATGGTTAATATACTATAATCACAAACTCTTAAGATTTGCAGGATGTAGAAACTAATGTTGCATCTTCTAGATTGAATGTTAAGAGAAAAATTGTTATTCCTGACTCATTATATTTTTAATGTCTATTTTTGGGTTGTTATCAATCAAAATGAGATTCAAAGATTGGTCAAAGAAGGTTAATTACCTAGTGAGGCAAGGGAGCCTAAACTAAACTTGTAAACCCTGTTTTGAAGGGTAGATAACTCTTAGGGCTTAATCAGCCAGATGAAATAGACATAAAGGACAATTGGAGTCGGTACACACTGACACGTGTGGTCTTATGAACATCCAAGCAAGATTACTCACGTTTTGGATAAGTTTATCTGATGCAACACAAGTCTTAAACTCTTGGTGTATTCTGAGAAGGTTAAGACTGATGTGGAGCACAGATTAGGTAAACTTATCAAGACACTTCGATCTGATCGAGGATATGAGTATTTCTTGGGCTAGTGCAAAGACTATATGGTCAATGAGGGTGTTGTGTACCAGTTTTTCGCAATTGACGCTAAATGCATTTAGGTGTCAAAAAGGAATAACAGAATTCCACTTAACATGGTTAGATCTATGATCAGTTATGCCACATTATCTCTTTCATTTAAGAGTTTAGCGTTAATGACATCGATGCGCATTATGAACTGCATTCCATCTTAGTCTGTCTCAAGGATACCGTTGAGCTGTGTTTTTGACTAAATCTTAGTTTGAATCACATGCACATATGGGGTAGTCTTGCACATGTGCGCTTGATATGGACAAGTAAGTTGGAAACAGATCATACACATAATAGATTTGATAGCTACTCTAAAGGTCACTAGGACGGATTATTTTATGATCTCAATGATAAAAGTTGATTATTTACACTCACTGTTTATCTATAGGAGAATCATATACCTAGTAGCATAATGTTAGAGAATATGGTATGAGTACCGGATGTACCACATATGAACACACTTATTATAATAGAGATTGAGAATAACATATGAATTCCCTATTAATTCGTTAGCATCATCGATTTCTGCATCGGTACATTGATGTAGTGGGAGGATTATCATCCAATCCGATTGAATCATGTTTTTAGGTGAGACCATTATGGACATCCCTATTAAACATGAGTTGGACCCAGTAAGCTACACGGAAGCGTGAACCGATATGGATACAGATCGTTTTGGCGAGTTACTATGAAATCAGAGTTGGAATCTATGTATTCTAATAAATTCTGGGATCTTGTAGAACTTTCTAGTAGGGTGATACCTATGGAAGGCAAGTTAATCTACAAAAAGACACCAGAAGATTTTTTGGTGAATAAATCATGAGTGTACAAGGAAATGTCATTATTTTTCTGATTTTATATATATTGATGACATCCTAATCATTTAGGATGATGTGGAAGTTTAGTCATCAATAAAAAGATAATTGTTCAATTACTTTTAAATGAAGGGTTTTTCAAGATGTAAGCTATATTCTTAGGATCAAGCTTTTGCAAGATCGGGTTAAAAGGAAAATATGCTTATCTTAATAATCCTACATTGATAAAGTTTTGACCAGGTTTGGCATGCATAATTTAAAGAATGAGTTCTTGCTTAATTGATATGGATTGCTCTCTCTATTAAGTAGGTTTCCAAGACTAGCAGAGGAGATTGAGCAAATGAGACTGAAACTATATGCTTTGGCATATGAGAGTCTCATATATGCCATGGTCTATACCAAACATGACATCCGTTACATAATAGGGATAGTCAGTAAAGATCAGTCCAATACTGGACTTGACAACTGGTCTGTTGTGAAAAATATCATTAATTACCTAAGGAGAATCAATGATATCATACTCATTTATGGATGTGATGATATGGTCCTAGTCAGGTATGCTAGTTCTGATTTTCAATCAGAAGTAGATACTATAAGGTTCATGACTTAGTGTATGTTCACTTAATGGAAGGGAAAACAGTTGGTAGATTGTCAAGCAGATTTCAACTGTTGACTCAAACCTGCAGGTGGAATATATTGCAGCCTTAAAGGCGGCAAAATAAGCCTATTGGTTTGATCTCACTGATTTAGAGGTTGTGGAGCATACTAGCCTGCCTATCGAGCTATATTGCGACAATAGTGCAGAAGTAGTCCAAACCAATGACCCAAGGTTCCATAGATGAACAAAATACACTGATAGGAAGTATCATGTTCTATATGATATTGTCCGGCAAGAAAATGTACTTGTAGCTAGAACATTGCATTGGAACACAACTTTGTTGATCCATTATCAAAGGTGTCATTGATCAATAATTTTGATCATCATCTGGATAACATTGGAGTTAGGTGCAATTTGAATTGGCTATGAGGGCAAGTGGGAGCTGTTGGGATTTATATGCCCTGGCATAGCAAATTCCTGTTTGGATTAAGTGACATATGTTCCTGACGTTTTTGAAATATTTATGTTTTATACAATTGGTGAATTCAATGTATTATATTTCGATTCATTATAGAATTGATAGTGTCCATTTGATTACAAGAGATATTTATATATATGTATGTGATGGCAATCAATGCATGATATATAAATAGTAATCATAAATTGTTCATAGTCAGTAATTATGGATGGACTCATAATTAATTAAGACTTAAACTGGATCCACGTTAGGTTGAGATATATTGCGAGAGCCGTCGTATGCAATTGCTCCCCTATCACCGTCATAGCATTTGACTCTTAAGCATAAGAAAATTATAGACTCTTTTATTAATTAATAATTACTTTGATTTGTTCGGCGGATTCTTCGGGATCCTTAGACCAACACTTTGGGTAGTTATGTGATTAATAGTTAGAGGGTTATATTTTCAATATTTGCATTATTGCTATTTGTATTTATTTTGTATTGATTATGGTTGATCACAAAGTAAATTCGAAGGCCTTCGTATGATTTTAGACAAAATGATTTATTATATATTTATTTATTTAAATTATTATTTTTGTCAAACAAATGTTTTATTGTGATCGAGTCAGAAATAATCAAAGGTACCAAAATAAATATATTAATTAAGTAGTCGGATTGATGGCTTTATTTATCCGATAACTAATTATGCATAGAGGGGTCAAAGTGCAATATTGACTTAGAGGTTATTTATTATTTAATTGGAGTTCAATTAATTTCTTTTAGTGGAGTAGAAATTAATTTATGAATTAATTGAGTTGGGTCCATGGACCGGACCAATTATTAATTCATTTTAGCCAATAAAATAATAGGCCCAATGGATTCTCACTCATAGCCCAACTTGATATTGGAATCATATTAGATTTGAGACATATGAATTAGAGATGGAAAATGATTTATTGTTTCCTTTTCTTTATTTTTATGTTGCCTATAAATATACATGATCTATGTATATTTTAGGGGGTGATTTTTATGAGAAGGAAAAAGGAATAAATTTTCTCTCTCTAGAAAATTAGGGTTTATGTTCTCATCTAATGGAGGCTCCCACAAGCCTAGTTTTCCAAGGTAATTTATGGAGGCTTATGAGTGATTCCTAAAGGCAAAATAATTACCAAGAAGATGGAGATCCAAGGAGAAGGCATCTTGCTAAAGGATCTACAATAAGTGAAAACATTCACTTTAGAGAAAAGTTTTAAATGTTTACTCAGACCTTTGATATAAGTATTTAATCCATTAATTGAATGATACATCATATTTTTATTTTTGCATAAAACTTGTCTTTATGTGATGAATCAAGATCTATGAATCAAAATTCCTCGAAAAGTTTTTAAAACTTGCACGTTTTCCGACACAACCATCAGTTGATGTCTAGCTAGGTGGTGGTACGTACTCTCTCAGCATCAAAACCCTGAGTCCATCATATTCCTGTAACGATCGACAATAACTTTCCCATTGTCTTGGAAAATTTGCAACGAGTGTGGACCATTTTATAGGATCAGTGTTGTACTTGATAGATTGCCGAGATGCACATTTTTGGGTAACACTCAGAACACGCAACCATGCAAGGTTTAAAAAAAAAAAAAAAAAAAAAAAAAACCAACAACAACAACAGCAACCACCATATATCATGCAGTGCATTCATGTGAAAACTGTAGCTAGTACTGTTCCTTACACTCAATATTCATTGTAATATATTCTAATTTCATTGAAGCAAGTAAAAACAACATTAGGATAGGAACATGTTGTACGAGTTTGGGTTTTGTTATTGCTAAAGTATAGTATTTGTCCCAAGCAGACATGCATCCTGGAGATAGACATGGTAATTATATTGGATCCTAACAAGCCATAATATTATAGCCAACCAGCACTCGATCAACCAAACAGAATAAAACAAACAAATTACGACTAAGAATATATAGTTGTTTATCATCCATAGGTCAATCCCAAATGAATTAGAAACTTCTCTGTAACGATTTCTGTTGTTCTTGCGATTGGTGATATTTTCCCTTTATTAATGGCGAATTTCATTACTATACAGGTATTTGTTTATTATTGATAGTGGTGAAATATATTCTCCAACCCTAAAGAACAACAGAAAATTGTCACCGGAGAGGATTCAGGTCCATCTCAAACACCAGAGAAAACCTTAATGCCGGATTCATGAGCTTTCTGTCCCTTCTCTGTTTTGAAGAATTTGAGATATTCCAAGTATTTGTATGGTTTGAAGAGTAATGGGTGTTCTTCATCCACTAACTCGTTTGGAGCTTTTACAATGCCCCCTTCTTTTGGGCTCGCAAATAGTCCCACTGAATACCTCGTTTTATTTCCGGTCATCATAATCCGATGAATCGGAGCATGCACACGCCCATTTGTCCATGCCTACAAATTGATAGAATTTAAATTAAGTTTTAAGAAATGTTATGATCATCTTGATTCCTTGAATATTGTAATATATTCATAACATATCATTTGATTTTGGTGTTACAATGAATAGGTCCAAGGTTCAATTCTCCCTCCCCGACTAACTACTAACCATTCTCAGGTATATATATATATATATATCTTAAAAAAGGACATTTATCAAAAACCTTTATTCAAATTTTTTTTTTCTTCCTCTCTTTTTGACCAAGACCAAAATAAGTTCGGTGAATCTATTTTTACATATAAAGACCTACTTTGAGAGACTTGACCAAAACCGTTCATAAGACTTTTTAGTTAAGGACATGTTTCACTGAGTTATCAGTCTTCTAAGGACAAAAAACTTGAGAACTTAAATTTTGGTTTTGCTAGAAGTTATTTTGAGAAAGTTTTAAGAAGACACCCTTATTTGAATTATTTTTTTTGGGCTTGTGTCAATTAATTGTTTGTTTTCTCTGTCTTCCCATATTTGTAAAAAAGAAAAAAAAAAAAAAAATATATATATATATATATATATAGCAGAGGGAGCAAGTGAAGAAACTAACGTGGAAAGAATCTCCGGCCATGACGATGAAAGAGTCCGGTGAGGATTTCACATTGATCCACTTCCCGTCCTTGCGTTGCACCTCTAACCCGTCTATCTCATTAAGCTGATACAATATTGTAAAAAGGTTCTTGTCACTGTGGGAAAACAGCGTAAGCTTGCTCTCCATAGTTTTGGGTCCTTCATACTTTAATGGTAGAAGAGTGTATCGGGTCGTATCAATGTGTTCACCACAGTATTTCTCAACACCTAAGCTCTCCAAAACCATCCTTCTTATCATTTTATCCATTTCAGATAGCTGCTCTGCGAAGGACCGTACTGTTTTGCTGCCAAAGGAATACTATATGGTCAAGATTAATTAATATTCTGTTATTTTAGTTTTCTAAAAACAGTTATTAAAAAGTATATCGGTTTTCTATGAAAAAATGGCAAAAAAATTTATTTTCAAAATCTTTGACCGCATAAAAGAGCTAACAACAACAACAACAACAACAAAAACTAAAAAAATTAACGTACCCAAAGCTAGGGTTTCCTTCTGGCCACAAGAGATTAGTGAAGCTTCTGAGTTTTTCGGGGATGAGAACATCTTCGATACCCATGCCCTCCCAGGGCTCTGCTGGTGACTCCCCAGTCATGTAGCTACTGTAGGGCGTCTCAACAGAGATTCCAGATTTTGTTTGCAAAGGAAGTTCAAAGATCTCTTTTGTTGCACCAAACATCGATTTTCGAAGCTCATAAGGAACTTGGTTGAAGAAAGCCTCGAAGCAACCATATTCTTGGAGTGCTTGCTGAACCCGGGGTCTCACGGAGTCCCACTCAGGAGTGCCCGGCTTTAGCTCATCTGAGAGATCTATGACAGGAAGCTGGTTGAAAAGTGCTTCAGAGCCCATTGTTTTTTTTTCTTTCTTTGACAGTTAGGTTGATGAGCTTTAAGATGTTCTATACATAGCAAATTTATATAGAATTTTGAACATGTTTGTCAAGTTGTTAATTTTGTTACTGCTTGGACAAATGATATATATTAATGTACTGACGACTGAGGATGCTTTAAATATTTGCATTCAATTTAAGTGGTGTTATAAAATATATGAGTTAATAGAGAGAAAGCAGACAGAAGAAATATATAATAAATAAGACGCTTGAGAGAGAAATGGTAGGAATATTAGAGACTTTTAAGATAGAAGCTGTACCAGATCCATACACAACATCTCTCTCTCACACACACACACACACACAAATTCACCTAGCTGACGTACATCACCTTGTCACCTCACATGGTTTTAGTAAGTCTCCTTCATTATTGTTTTGCCACATTTTCAATTTCTCTGAAAGTTGAATTTTGGTGCCAAACAAGGAATATACAGCTTGCATTCTTATTACATTTCTACAAATTTTCCACCGCCAAGCATACATGAAGTGGAGGTCATATCTGCAACAAGTAAGCTATTACATGTACTGACAAGGATGCTTTACCATGCTTTTCACGTTGTTAATTTCGTTATGCATTGTTAACATGTCATAACTGTGAGTGTACGCAACGGAATATATATAAGAAAGTTTTGATTTTGTAAAAATAGATCTTGTGTTTTTTTAACTTACTTTGTTTTAGCAATTAAATAGTTAATTACATGCAGATAAAATAAAACAAAGTATAAAGTTAGAGATGACACCAGAATTTTAGCAAGGAAACCCCAATTGATAAAATACGTCAACTGTTATGGAAAAAATCTTGTGGACTTGTGCAACCCAAAGTAAACTAATCCACTATGCTTGAAACAAAGTATACCGAACTTTTGACTCTGGCTCTACCAATAAACTTTACAAAGTAAAATTGTCGACATTTTTCAAAGTAAGAAAGTGCCAATGAACTTTCGTACACCTTTCATAATAAAATCAATATATCATAAAACTAATTATCTGAAGGAAAAAAAAAAAAAGAAAAAGAAAAAAGAAAAAAAGAAAAAAGAAAAAAAAGATAATCATCTCAATAAATTGCAAGATGGCGAATTATACCAAGTAAACTCCATTTGCCAAGTATTTCAGCCCCTATTAAGTTCCAGAGTCATTCATGTGCATCAGACAAAAATCAAAAGACATGCTATGTATGAATAAATTACATTCATGGCGCTAATATGCATGACATTTTTTAGAACTTTAAATTTAATGAATTTGTAGGCGTGGACAAATGTTGATCCACTTCGTCGGAATTTAAAATTCGTCAAAATACAAAAAGAATAGAAAGCTGAAATTAGCATAGAGGTTTTCTGTGGTGTTAGAGATGCACCCAAATCCTCTAATCCAGGGTCAATTGTAGCATGTCTCCAGGCCTGTCTGCTTGGACAAATATTATACTTCAGTAGTAATTTTTCTTGTTTCAATGAAATTAGAATTAATATATAACAATGAGTGAATTCCAAGAGGAAATAAAATATTTTTCATTAATGCTCACAAGGCTACGTAAAGTGTTCACATGAATACTCTGGTTGCTTGTTAGCTATATATATATATGTATATTTTTTTTTTGTAAGTAACTTGTTAGGTGATAGTTTTTTAACAATTCTATACTTCCAAAAATTTAAGCTAATTAAAGAATGTGACTAATATATATTAATAATTATGTGAGTGTGTCTCCAAAAATGTGCATCCTCCGTGGCGAGACACAATTGGGCAACAATAGGTGCGCTGGCAAAAAATAAGGACCATCTCGTAGGCCAGCCCAAGATCAGGAGCACGAAAATTAAGTGTAAAGTCTTAGTTGGGCCTTTCCATTGTGGCCCAATCAACGCGAGAGGAGGAAAAAGATAAGTCAGGTCAACGGATTGGATCAGAGTCCAAGAAATGAGTGGATAAAAATTCTCTCCTTTGCCCTTCTCACTGGAAGCTATCAAAAAATTGCTGAGGTGGCAGTTGAGTTAAAATAGTATTTATTATTTTCAGTGTATATACACTTATTTTGTAGGAACTTTTACATATAAGTGGTGATAGCAAAACTTTATTACTATATCATTGATGTAATTTGCATATTTACTATATCATGAACCAAAATGAACCTTCATTTTGAATCATTTATTAAGCTAAAATTATATTTTTCACCTCTAAAAGTTTAGTTTATGCACAATTTAACCAAAGAAGAACTTTTAGAGATTCTAGAATATTTTCACATAGCACTTAAAAACTGTTACACTTCACTAGAACTCGGTAATATAACACGTAACCTTCACTGAAGAATAGAGGAACTTAGATCTAGAATTATTTTTGTACAGAATATTCTAGATGCTAGATGGCAAATATTTTAGCCAGGTTTATGAGTAGAATAGAATTTAATAACTTAGATAACTCTATAAAACGATTAGGAGAAAATCTAGATTATATTAAAAACTAAATAGACCATAATTCTAGTCCAAATAATCTAGACAACAAAATAATATTAGTCGCAATTAAAGACCTAAACAGTGATATTAAAAGTATTATAGAATATCAAAAAATAACTATAGAATATTTAAAATCTTTGAAAACAGATATCCAAAGGTTATTACAATAGTTTTATGAGCACTAGTATTCCTGATTATCTAGCAGCTTTAGTCGAATTTTATAAAATTGACAAAGACCCCATAAGATTTACAAGTTTTAAGACAGACGTACAATCAACTAATATAAATATTAAACAAAACAACTTTTTAATCCAGTTATTACTCCAGTTATCTGAAAAAGTTAATAAGCTTGAAGAAAAATTAAAAGTAATACAAAAAAGTATTCCTAGAGAATCTTCTAGAGAATTTTCTGAACTATCAGATAAAATAAAACATTTAAAGTTATCAACGAATTCCTTTCCGACAAAAAACAAGCGTGTAAATCTTTTACAACCACATAGAGAATGGCCATTGTTCTTAGAAAAGCCAAAGAAATAATGAGGGTAGAAGATCTATATGATAATGAGCACGATGCTCAAAAGTATATAGAAAAATGAATGAAAAAAGTATCTAATAAAGTTAATTTTTATTCTAATAATTTATTAAATTTCCAGAGCAAAAATATACAATCATCTTAGCCAGCGAAGGATAAGTGTAGTAAATAACCAGGTAATTTTAGATCTCATAACGCCAAAAGCCTGTCAAGAGTTAGAAAAAAATAAATTAGAACTTATGCATTTAGGCATAATAATGATTGGAATAGTAGGATTAAATAGATCGGAAGTAGGAACCAGAACACTCGCATATATTTATGATGATCGATGGAATAACCATTAGCAAGCACAATTAGCTAGCGTTAAAATAGATCTAACAACCAACGCCGCCATTATAAGATGTATTCCTAATTTTACGATGACCACTAGAAAATTTAGTAAACATATAAAAATAGCCATATCCACAAAGGGATATAATTAATATGACCGGACAATATGAAAACTTATTAATTAATACTTTACTTATAGGAAAGACAGTTAATCAGTATAATTTAAAGTTCAAAGCTCAATTCAGTGAAATAGTTAAACCTTTTAGTAGCAAATATGTCCAAATTATATAGGTTAGAAAAGTAAGCAGAATAACCCATGAAGAAATAGAATGGGAATTACCAAATCTTACTAAAACAACCAAAAAGATTCATGAAAACAATATGATATATGTAAAATATAGTGGAGAAATTAGTATAAGGTTTAGTAATTATAAAAGACAAGATAATTTAACAGATGATATCGAAGAAGAATTCTTAACTACTTTAGTAGAAAAAGAATCTTCTGAAGAAATAAATATCCTTTATGATAAATTAGAAGATGAAATTCTAGATAAAATAATGTACAATTTTGACAATTTAGAAGTCAAATACTTACAAGATAAATATCCAGAACCTAAATACAAACTTATAGAAAGTATTTACCCAGGACAAGGAAATAATGATGATATTAAAAGAAATATTCTGAACGTAGAACTTGAATCCTTTTATACAACATATGAGTTAAACGCATTAAAAGAAGAATTAAATGTAATAGAACATAGAGAAGGAAAAGAACCAGAAGGATCAGCTTCTCAGTCAGTTAACCAAGAGATGCCTAACGCCAAAGGTAGTACTAATACCATAAACGATAACTATACCACTGGACAACGATTAAATCCCACACAAGAAACCTATGTAGAAAATAGAAAAATACTAGATATGTACACATGGACACAAAATCATAGACGTTACGATAATATACCAGCACAACAAGCAAGAACAATTTTAGACATATCACGACACGATCCCCAAGATTAGGCAAAAGTAATCAAAATTGGGAACATGACTGTATTAGACAATCCATTTTAACCAATTTTGATAATAAAACTCAAGCCCTAACTTATTATGAAACTTTATTAAAGGGAACAATCCATGATTGGTGGGAATCTTACAAACTAACATATCCCAATGATTATGCCATTTTACGTGATAATTTTACAATTCAAGGTTTAACCAGCCTGTGATGTTTTCATTTTTTGCTATTTTTCTTTTTCCGGGATTTTTGTTGCTGCAAGGGCATTTTTATCTTTTGTAGTTTTGCATACCGGACACTACGGAGAGTACCGGTTGTGTCCGAGAGTTGTCTGGGGCATTTCGTTGAGTTCAGGACTCTTTGAAATACAAAGGTGATCATTTTTGCATTTTTCTGTTTTTTGGGTCGGATAGTCCCGTGTGGGACCCACTACCGGAATTGTTGAGTACTGGTGGCTTTAGTTGGATTCATTTGCATCATGTTTATTTTATTTAATGTGTTTTAAGTATTTGTGAATTAAATGTGTATTTATGTATGTATGTGGTATAAATTGAGAACCAAAAAAAATGAAAAATAAAAAGGAAAAGTGGTGGGACCCACTATTATTCTTAAGTGGTCATGAGACCACAATTCTTGGTCTCATTCCCTCTTCTCTCCCGCTGCTCTCTTTCTCTTCCTTTCAAACTTTCATTTTCTTTTTCTTTTTGCTTCAAGACTTTGAAGCTTGATTTCTCTTTCAATATTTGGTATTTTTGGAAGCCGTTTGCGGCAATTCGAAGATCACGGCGAGATCTACGAGTTGATCGGAGCAATTTTGTGTTTGGTGCACTTTAGGAGATTTGGGATCTAGGGCACAAATTGGGGCTTTTGGCTTAGTTTGAGGTAGGGGTCTCTAATACCCAATTTATTGTTCCTTTGTGAGTTTTTCTACTTTAGTTGTTGTCAAGCATGATTAATTTGAATTGATGGTTTCTTAAATGACTTAATTGTGTATATGAGGCATGTAATTATGTCTATTTGTTGATTTACATGGAAAACATGCTTAATTGTTGATCTTCTATGCCTAATGTGTTCGTTAAATTGTTAGATGTTATTATGATGAAGCATGTTAAATTGTGAAGCTTAAATTTCCTTCATTTTCATACTATTGGGAAAATATGTAGCATGCATTTATGGCAGTGGGC